TATATGTAATTCAAATTTTCTGTGTTACTTAAAAACGGGCTAATAGAGTGGATTTTCTGATATGTACCAGCTCCGGTTCATCAAAACGAATCAACAAATTATAGGTGGAATGTTTCGCTTATGAATCGAATTGGACTACCTATTTTTTGTCTGAGAGTAGTACTAGTTGCCAGCGCACAAAATCAGAAAGGTTTGATTTTCAATAATTCAGTGAAACTTGTTGCAGAACAATTCATTTTAGGTAGCAGGTTGGGGATGCTTTGCGGGTGAAGATATTGAAAAGAACGAATTTATCTCGGAATACTGCGGCGAACTGATAAGCCACGATGAAAGCGAGCGCAGGGGCAAAATCTATGACAAATTAAAATGCAGTTATTTGTTCGGTAGGTCTATTCGAGAACAAAAGTATTTTTTTTTTACTGCCCGAAATGAGTATTCTGAGGGAAAGATGAGAATAAACATATTGTTTGCTTAATTATTTATGCACAAAAGAAGTAAGTTCTTTTTCTTTCACCCCCTATCTCGTGTAGTGAACTTTCGAGCAAAGCAAAAGCTTATCGAGAACAAGTTATCATCCTTATCGTCAAACCAAATTAAGAACGGCATTCTATCCACGACATTATTTCGAATCAATATCTTCGGCCTTGTCTGAATGTGCTCTCTTTAACGTTACAGTCCCTACCTGTACTCCGTGAAGTTGCGGGTAAATGCCGCGAATTGTCGTCGAAAATTGCGTCAGCGTCAATGGAAATAGAGGTTTACTGTCGAAGAAAGTACAGATGAGGTAAAGGCAGGAGTTGTAACGTCGAAGGAAACAGATTCGGGTAATACTGAAAATACTGATCCGAAATAATGCTAAGGATAAGAAGCCGTCGTTGGTTTCGGGAGGATGCGCACGAAGAAGAGGGATGCATCAAGAATGCCGATATCCAGACTCTGTTCGGAAGTAGGGATGTTTGAGTAGCTAGAGAATATAACCGATCTCAATTCTCAACTTGCATTTTGTAGGTTTAAATGATGAGATGGCGGTGGATGCTACTCGAAAAGGCAATATTATTCGCTTTGCGAATCATTCAAAGGATCCGAATTGCATG